GGCCGCCCCGGCGGCGGGGGGGGGAGCTGCTCGCCCCGTACAAAGTCTCTCGGGCTCTTTGGGATAGGTTTACGGTCGTCGCTCCTGGGTGGTTTTTTGGGGGGTTAGTGGGTTTTTTTGGTGTGTGGTTTGTTTTTTTTTTGGCCTTCCGCAGAAGAGAGGTCCGCTTGTGCGTGTGTCTGGTGAGTTTTGTCCCTTCACGGTGAAATGGAGGCAGCTGAACGGTGCTGTACGGCTCCGGGGGAGGGCGGGGGGGTAATGTTGCCCGGTGTTACCCGGGACAAGCTCTCTTTTGTCTGCGTACGGACGAGTGAGACACCTATGGAGCCCTTTTCCAGATGTGCTCTCTCTCTCGAGAGAGAGAGAGAGAGAGAGAGAGAGGAATCCGGGGCTCTTTGCGCATGAAACGTGTTTAATTTATGAGGTTTTTGTCTCTCCGGCAGCGCCCTGAGAAAGTGAAAACGCGAGTCTTGCAAAGTCGTAGAACTTCCTAACGTTTTAAGTATGTTTGCGTAGCTTTGGGGAATTTTTCTCTTCCCCCCCCCCCCCCCCCCTTTTATTTTTTTTTTTTTTTTTTTTTTTCCACTGTCTGACCACACTTTAAATACCAACACATTGAAAAGTTCACTAACCTCTACAAAGGCTTTCCCTTCCAGTTTGCATAGCTGATAGGACTTTGCTGTCTTTGAAGCTTTGTAACTTTGGACCAGGCTGAGAGAACTTTCTGGAAATGGTCTGTATGAGAGAATGAAAATAAGCGTAACTCCTAAATCTGTTTAATCTGTTCACTTCATATTCTGTTGTTTTGGGGTGGGGTTTTTTTGGCTCTAGTTCTCTTTCTGAGCTCCCTTGGTTGGGAGGAAGTTGGCAGATAGGGGAAGTACAGATGCAGTGTGTCAGACTCCAGTGCCGGGTGAGCTTTTACTGGGGCTCCCTGCGTGGCTGGAGCCAAACTGCTTCCTACCAACAGAGGTGAAAAATGACACTCAGCTCTCTGCCTCCTTAGATTCCTCCTCCTTTCATTACCCCAGGAAAGGACCTGAGTTTTTGAAAGTGGTGTCTTGTGGTCAAAGAGCTGTCTGGATGCATAACAAGTGGCGGACCCACCGTGGGACCCTCTGGGAGGTGACCCTGCTGCTGAGGGAGATGTTGCTTGGTTCTGTCCTACTTCTTGCTCTCTTCTAGAGAGAAACAATGAAGCGACCCAGTATCCTGACTGCATCCTTTGGGGACATCTTTCTTCATAGCTCCACTTGAGTCATCTTAAATGCTGTTACAGCAGGCAGAAAAATCTCTCCCCTCAGGGAAAATGTGAGGACATGAAGGGTTTAAGATTAGGTCCGCTGGTGTGACACTCCCTCTCCAACAGCTGTTACGAACAGTGCCACAGGACACGCATAAGCTGTGTGTTTCTGGTAAGGCTCAGATGCTACTGGCAACGCTACTGCAGGGCTGGGGGGGTGACTCTCCCCAAGGCCAGCCTTTCGCAGCCTGGTTGGTCTGTGTGGAGGTGGACCAATAAACAAAAGTGAGGATGAGCAGGGGTAGCTGCTGGGTGGATAGAGCTCTGACCAGAAAGACCCTTAAGTGTGACATAGCTCACCGGGAAATGGGCTGCTTCGGGGTAAGGGAGGTAGCAGCTGCTGGTAGCAAAGCCAGCACTTTTTTTTTGTGAAGCAGCCGATGTCCCAAGACCATGTTGACTAACCCTGGTATGGATCATGATCAGAAGTGGCGTTGTCACTGTGGTGTTCTGCTCATAATGCTGTCAGTTCTGGTAGAACTACCACCAGGTGGTTCATTACACTGTAGTGAAACAGTGGAGCACGAGGCAGAAGTTCCCAAAGGAAGACTGGAGGTCTTTTTCAAGAGCTTCTGTAGCTCACTGCAGAGCTGCAGACTGGAGAGAGTTGGTCGGTCCCTTCTGACTTGCAAGTCTGTTGACCCCTAGAGTAGGTCTGAGGGATTGAGGACAAGGCCTTGCTAATTACTCTTGTGCCTTGGCCCTTTCCCATCACGTGGGAGATGCTCAGCACAGCTTTTTGGCTGCTGCTTGCTCTTGCAGCCTCTTACTCCTTTTGAAAAGCCCAGAAGAGTTTGTCAAGGTGCGTGTAACTCATCAGCCCTGTACAAAGGGAACCAAAAATGGGGCAGCATGGGCTTAACATCTGTCTATGCTGTCGCGTGCTTGTCATCTGGGGAAGCTCTTATAGGTTACAACTCTATCTTGCCATACTGGACTCGATCGTGGGAGCGCTTAGAACGGTGGCACGCAGGTCTTATCAGCAGCCGTGGGTGAATTAAGGGTGGGCGGATGTTTGTGGCACCGGGGCTGTCTGTCCCAGCAGCTGTTATTGTCCGTGTGGGAGAGGCCGGCAGTGTGGAGGGGCGCTGATTTGGCCATGCCAGCTTGAAACGCTGGCACGGAGTCCCTGCGCTGGCGGAAGCGCTATTGTGCTGGGGTGTTAGGGGGACTGTCGGCATGCCCGGCTCCACAACAAAGCCTCTGGCTGGCTTCACGGGGGTTTCGAGCACGGGTGAGATTCCTGGCCCGGATCGCAGGACTCGGGCGGGGGGAGAGAAGGGGGAGGCAGAAGCACATGAGACCTGCTGCTCCTAAA